TTCTCCTGCATGTAGCCCTGGGGGAGCCATAGGATTGTACGGAGGGAGAAGTTATTTTTCCTTGACATAAACAGCCAGGCCTTTCCTCAGCCCCTTTGCTTGAAACGTGGAGGTAGGACCTGGACTCATAACATCCGGCAGGAGGGGCTGGCCTTATCTGCCAGGAAACACTCAGCTCCGGATACATCCTCCCCTGCTCCCGACACCAGAAGCAGCTCCCATTGGCAGTGCGGAGCAGGAAACCACTCAGCAGCTTGTCTCATTCCCTCCTCTGGAGGGACGGGAGGGAGGGCCTGATCCTGCCCTCTGAGCGCCGAGGAAAGCGCTTGCCAGCGGGAGCAGACGTGGCTCCCCGCGGGGTGCAGTGGGGTAGGGGAGCAGGAGGGAGCAAGGAGAGATTGAGGGAGAAGGTGCACATGCATGAGCAGAAAGGCATTGTTGGGGGCAAAAGGGAGTTTTGGGGGAGTTAGGGGCATTTGGGGGTTCCTCTGGGCTCTGCCGCTGATTTGCTGGGTGATCTCAGTCAAATCTCTTCACCCCCTTCCCTGCCCTAATTTCTCTTCCCGTGTATTTGCCTCCTACTTTGAGTCAAACTAGTAGCAGTATCTTAAGCTCTCCCAAGGGATGAAGACCCATCATGCGAGGGGCTGCACAAAAACAGTTCATGTCCCAACCTCTATACTAAGTAGGCTCTCCCACTGCCTCCCCACCAGCCTGAACCCCCTCCCTCTGTCCTGGTGAGCGACAGGGATGCTGTCTCCCTTCCCATTGCTCTGCTCCCACTGTGTCCCCAGAGCCCATCCTGTCGTCAGCAAATGAGCTGGCCCCAAGCGCCAGCCCAAGTGCACGGTCCTTGCTCTTGCTACACTGGATGATGCTCTCTGCAACAGGCAAACCCCACGTTAAACTATCCCCTTCCAGGATTTTTTTCCCCCTCCTGCCATCTTGCTGCCAGGGCAATATGGGGCCAGAGGTTGGGGTGAAGGGTCCCCCAGGGACAAACTTTCCCCATCAGGGATTAGAACAAAATTTTGGCTTTGCCTCTCGCAGGGCTCTACGCTCATGGAGAAGAGACACCACCTGCTCCTTGAATTTGAAGGAAATTGCCCGTCCCAGGAGGGTCAAAGCATGACAACACACGGCAGCACCCGGCTGGTCTGGACTGCAGCGCTATCCGGGAAGGTGACCTCATCTCGGCTCATGACGGTCAGTGCCGTGACCTGGGCTCTGCGCCAGCCCCGCGGGGCCACGACCGGCCAGACGCTGGGGAACAGAGGGCTTGTGCCCTGGCCACCTCTTGGCCTGGAGAAATCCAGCCTTGGCCGAATCTGGTGAGAGCTTGACCGCAGCTCAAGGTCATTTCAGCCCATCTTGCAGCCCTGGTTTGGTCTGCTGTGATTTTCAGATTGATTCCCAGCCAGTCCTGGAGACCGCAACCCACAAACCACAGGGCTCTCCAGCCTGTGCAGATACCACCTTGGGCTCGTGGCTTTGGGGCCGTAAGGGGAAAGTACTGGCAGGACCAACACAGGATGAGCCCCACTGCAACTAGAAATGTCCCTGTGCCGATACACCACCACAGCGACCGGTTCTCCGATGGAGGACACCTGATTTCCAAGCAAAACAGGCTCCTTCCCACCTCTGCTGACCACTTGCTATTTTTTGACAGCAGTGTTTCTCTTCCCAGCTCGCTGCTAAGCTGGGGTCTGGTGGTCCAGGCAAAGTGCAGCTACCTACCATCCTGCTCGCCCTGCTACTGTCTCTGCCTGTTCCTAAAGCACTGGATTTTAAAAAAAAAGTGCATATGTATGTACGTATATGTGTGTGTGTGTGTGTGTGTGTGTGTCTGTGTACATATGTGTGTATATATATATATATATGTGTGTATATA